GCCAAATAATGTGGGTCTAAGTGGCCAAAAAAGGTCTGCACGATAATTCACTTCCATGGTCATGTCTGTCTTAGAAGTCTTCTCACACTTCTGCACAAAGGATGCCTATTTTAAGATAGAGAGGGTGTATAATTGTAGTGATCAGTCAAGGAGTGGTGAATCAGTTTTCATTGACAGGGAGCGCTATGTCTGTATAACAAAAGGAACATACACAGTATTATCTCTTCTTTCCAACTGGAGGAATCACACCAAAACAGAGCTGCAGCACAGCGGTCCATACATTCATGAGCTTTACTACCGAGCACCTGACAGACAGTTTTTCACCCCAAGAGAGATTTATATTAAGCAAGCAGGAACTTTAAGCCATATGGATTGTTTAAAAAAAAAAAGTTTATCAGATGCTACGTACCTCTAGCTACATTGTTTCCAGTGAAAACAACATCTGTAATCTCCCCAAACAGAGGCAAATAGGCCATTATCATTGAACACCAGCATAGTCTACATGACTGCACAGATGCACAGCCACACATGGGCTCAAAAGCACATCCACATACACAGCTTAAGTCTCAACAATATAGATGTGAAGACCTCATTAGTCTCCAGAGCCGGAACCGAGTGTGGGCCAGGGCCAACTCTGTTGTCCTATTATGCTAAACCAGCGCATGGCAGGGAGGAAATTAATGGCTAAATGGAATCATGCAAATTGTTAGGTACATAAAGGTCTACCTGCTTTTGTCACTGATTCATTATAATGGGGTACTGGAAGTAAAAAAATAAAGTGCAGAAAGGAGTCAGGCCAGTTTATTTGTCTGCACCATCTCTACTGAGACCGTGAAGCACGTGGAATATTGTGGCTTAAAACAGCAAATGCCATAAAAATGATGTGTTCATTGTTGTTTTAAATGGAAATCTAACTGCTCAGTCACCAGTGATCAGAAAACAAAATGTTTTGCCTACATAGTAGCCTAAAGTAAAGGACTTCAGACGATTTGGAGCACAGTAGATTAGACAAAACTGTGGACTGATAACAAATGGCCTGAAGGGAATTGAGTTACTGACGCCGGATGATCCTTTAAGTTCCAACTCCCCCACAGTGCTTTTTGCCTCTCCATCTGGAATTTCTGCAGCCCACTATCACTCTTTTCTAGACTCTTCTGTCTCCCTTATTTTCTATAATACCAGGATTTGTTAAGGTCAGAGGCAAACAAATCTGACTAGTGATAAAACATTCAAGTAATGTTAGCAGGTCGAACTAATTGTTGATTTTGCTGGGTAAAGTGGTGATGACCAGCATCACCACTTGTTGTACAAAATAAATTAGCTAACAGTGACACTAAAGCATTTGTTTGTTGGTCAGTGTGCTCTCTACAACCACCAGTGAAATGTGTTTTTGAAGTTCAACAGAGAGGAGACTTCTCTAGAAAAATGATCAGCTGACCTTGGCACATTAAATACAGGTGAGGCCCAGGTTAGCTTTTCATCAAATCAATACTGCGAGCTCATTAACCTAGTAGTTCTGAATCAGGACCTCCATTATTTGGATCAAGCTGTTTAATTTGTGTATAATGAAGTGAAAATTGCAAATTAGAATTTCCCAGATCCCAAGATGACATCTTACAATTGCTGGTTTGAGAATCCAAAATCCCAAGATATTCAATTTATTAACATACAAGACTAACAAAATCTAAAAATATTTATATTTGTACAGCTAGAACCATTACATTATTGGCATTTTTGCCTAAAACAATAGTCAAACAATCAATCGATTATCAAAGTTGCAACCTGTATATTGGTTAATTAACCAACTGTTTCAACTCTACTACTGTATACAAGTTTTGTCTTTTGTCAGCCCAGTCTCACATGAAAATGTTCAATAGCTACATTGGTCCACAACATAAGATATAGTAATGTCACAATGACGACTGTAAAATTGTGACATGTTAAGATGCTTTGTATTGCAGCCCAGCGTCCTGCTCTGTGTTCTTCTTCTTGGTGTTTTATGGCAGTTGGCAAACAACGAAACAGCACATTACTGCCACCAACTGGACAGGAGTGTGGATCGGGAAGCTAACATTTTGTGTCCTTTGAACTATATCAAGTTTAAAACACTAGGAAGGTGATGGTTGGGGTTGATTAGAGTGTGGATACCCGAACCGAGCCCAGTGGGATCCATTGGGACATGAGGGTTCAGGTCGGGTTCAGTGTCTTTCCC